TGAAATGTCTTAAAGAGGGCCTGTATTTTTGCACTTCATAATATAAAAGCACTGTAAAACACAGAAATTGGAACCCTTTGCCACATTGAAGATTCAAGAGATCTAGTGAAAAAATCTCATCACCAGAGTCCTTGAGAGATTAGCTAAATTTAAAATTTAACTTGAACTAAAACTTTTTGAATCGATCAGTTACAGAGTTTATACTGCCATCTGCATTACTATTAGAGAGATTTTCCCTCATTTCTGGTCACCAACGCAGACACTGACAAAACAAAATGACTTAGAAAAAGAATTTATAGCATTGTTTTTATTGCTCTCTGTGCCATTTTTTCCCAGTGACAAATTTACATTCTTGACATCACCCAAATAGGAAGTAAGGGGAAATCTCCCCAATGAACACCCTTGGGAAATAAAATTTTAAGCATTTTGAATTCTTCTTCACACTGTCCAAAACTAAAAAGGCTTTAGATTGTTTTTGAGTTAAAATTATATGAATAATTAATACACTTGTGTTGACAGTTTTCACTTCCTAAAAATATTTTTTTTAATCTCTTTAAATACTGTATTTTATAGCCCCTGAGTCATGTTTGCATGTATATATGCACTCATATTTGTATGCTTTTGGCACTGTTCATTCTGAACACAGCATTATTCTGTATGTTAGGATTTTGTAGACAATTTTATATGACTTTACATAGTCTTAAAGACTGCATCAGCCATTTTATTACTGTATTACCAATATATCATGGCATACTAATGGTAGCCATGTGCAATTTAATATAATAACGTCCACAAAATACGGTAGGTTCAAGGACATCATTTAAACTATTTCCAATTTAATATCAAATAATGAAAGAGGAACTATATGAACTGTCAGAGCACAGTTTGAATGCTGGTACATTAAATGTCCACTGTTACAATCATGTCATGCTCTACTTGTTAAATGTTGTGTTTTTATGCTATAAGCATAATAACATTCAAAGGAAATCAAATTCTCCCAGCCTAGCTGCATGGTGTGAGACCATCTTAAACAGAATAGAAAGTGGTTGCTGCAGTAACAGTATACATATTTGGAAATCTAAATATAAAGCCATATGGATTTGTAATTTGTAGTAGAAGTACATATGTTCACAAATACGTTTTAAATATTAAAATATCTATATACACAATACATGTAATCACTTTGTCATGATGAACAGCAGTACTAAGTGCCACTAATTGTGCCTCTTTACTAAATGGGATGAAGCAAGGAATTCCTAAAACAATTCCTAGTAGTATAAATGAACAATGCAAAGTTGGAGGAATGTACCGTATAAACCCAGAAATATAAGTGCAGCAATATTTGGTACGTGGTGTGCTGTTAAAATGGTAGAAGTGCAATAAGTTTTTTGCATATTTGATCTTTATGGTTCAAGCACCTGTAGGAGCTTACCTACATTCCTTTGGCACCCCCTCTCCTTCTTGCAAGAAAGTAATCAATTTGTCTCAGAAATTTTGTATGCTGTTGGCTGCTAAAAAGAGTTATGATTCCTGATAGAACTCTGCAAAATCCCAGAACTTGAGTGGGAGGGTGCAACAAGCTCTTTTTAACTACTTGAGGATTTGAAATGTAGGAGATATGCCCTAAAAAAAAGGTAATGACGTTTTTAGGGTATGTCTCCTATGCTCAGCTCTTCTCCCCATGCTGACCCTCCCCTGCCACACTATTGCCAGCAATTACAGGCTGTCAAAATGAGAGCAGGGATTGTTGTGTATTACACAGCAGGAGTGGCAGTCAAAATGCCACTGATATGTAAAATGACAATTGGAAATAGTTCGTAAGCATCATTAAGTAATACAGACCTTTGATCTGCATAGTTAAGAAACCTTACAAGTAACAAAATTAAATTTCCAAAAGTATATTACTATATAACCTCTATTACCTCTTAGGTCTTAGCCCTAATTAGCTATTTCCTCCCCTTTTCCACTTAGCTATTATTTTTCTGCTGATTTTTTAGAGTTCCCTGTAATGTTTTATGTTTTTCCATTTTATTTGTTTTGAAGTTTTTCAGTGTCGCATTGAAAAATGCAAATAACTTTGCAAATAACTTTGCTATGATTTATATAAGTAACATAATTTTAGTAAAATTTTAAATGTAACAATTTATAGAACAAAATGTAACAGTAATTTTTTTAAAAAAATAACATTAATCAAAATACATAAACTTGCTCATAGCGGGAATGTAAAATTGCTCTGATCCTTAAAGCAGAGCTCCACCTAAAAGGGGAAGTTCTGCTTTAAGGCTTTATCCCCTGCTCCCCATTTAGGATTGGCACCAGGGGTGGACTGACCATTTGGAAACTCGGGCACTGCTTGAGGGCCCGGGGTCAGTAGGGGGCCCCATGAGATGCCCCTGGTACCTTTTTCATAGGCTTTTTTGAGTTTGGGCAAGGACACAGGGGCCCCATGATCCCCTATTGCCCGGAGGCCCCATGAGTTGTCAGTCTGCCCCTGATTGGCACCTTTGTAGGGCGGGTACCTGAATTTGACAGGTACCCGCTCCCACTTCTGCTGCGATTGCCTAAGGCAGTGATGGGGAACCTATGGTACGCATGCCAGAGCTGTCACGCAGAGCCATATCAGTGGGCACGCCAGGAAGAAGAGGAAGATGAGGCGCACACAAACCATGCACACTGACCAGCCATCCAGATCTCATCCACACCACACTCCCCCCTTCGAACTACATCTCCCACATGTCTCTTGGGCCAGGGTGGGCGTGGATGAGAGGAAGCGGCTCCCATATTGCTCTGGCGCCAGGAGTGACATATATCTGGGGATGGGCGTGGATGAGAGGAAGCGGCTCCCACACTGCTCTAGGGCCAGTGGTGATGTGTCTAGCATCAATGAAAGGAAGCGACTCCCATACTGTTCTGGGGCCAGGGGCTACATGTTCAGCGTGGATGGGAATGAGCTGCTGGGTTGGAAGCCCCACCGACACTGCCAGAGGTGAGATTAACTGCTTCCCTACCACGCTATAGCCAAAAGATGGCTACAGCGCGGTTGTCTAGTTCTGGGAGGGCGTCCATGGACGTCCTCCCAGAACATGCCCCCTGTGCGTCACCCAGTGGCGCACCCCCAGCACTGTCGGTGATAAGGTTGTGCTGGAGTTTGGGCACTTGGGCTCAAAAAGGTTCGCCATTACTGGCCTAAGGCGATCAGAAGCGGAAGGTGTCCTCCCTCCTCCCCATAGTCTTCTGGGACACGTGACAGGTCCCAGGACACGTGACAGGTCCCAGAAGACTACGAGGCCATTCACAAAGCACAGCGCTTCTCTTGCATATGCAGCGGGCACCCGGATGTGAAGGCGCAAGCTGTCACAGCTGGGTGCCCACACTGAAGATGCCAGCACCGGGGAGAGAAGACGGCCGGTGAAACCAGCCGTGGTGAGGAGGTTTTCACACAACTTTATCCAAGATTTCTGACATTTTTCCAATTGAATCAAATTAGAAAAGTGGGAGAAAACTGTGGGAATTGTGTCTGAAAATCTTTAAAATAAACATAGTGTTACATGGTCAACATTTGTGCAAGCTGAAATATACAAAACATTTACTATATATTTGGGAATATTCTCTGCAATAATCTTTATGTCTTAGAGACAATTGAGATTTTTTTTTACTGTGTGTAAAGTTACCTTTGCTTGCCAGTCAATCAATATTAAGAAAATTACTCAGCACCCTTGATGCCATGGGATACTGCAGAAATAACTCAATTTGCAACTGTCAATTGAATGGTTTAAGTTATCTTTGGTGTACTGTGTGTCAGATGTTAATTAACATTCCCAAAAGCAAAGAACATTTACTAGCATATGCAGAAGTCATATTAAAAAAAAAATTAAACTGTATTTCATATGTACAATGGCTCTCTATTAGCACTTGTAATAATAAATAACTGCACTAGACAGGGTTGTCCAATGTCCCCCTTGCTATTTAATATCACTCTTAAACCTTTTATCAGAACTATTAAACTAATGGTTCCAAAAGGGTTCAAAATTTTCAGCTAGAGAATATTGCATATACAGTATATAAAGATTGCATCTTGTACAGATGATATGATATTTTTTACATATCAACCATTTACATTCCAAATTTGCTTTCACCTTTTCGTCAAATGCATATTTTTTTCAAAATTTTAAGATACACACAATGGTTAAGATCTGTAGGTATGATCACCAAAATGTACGATGTATAAATATCCAAAGTATCATTGCAAGCAAAAATCACAGTACAACACATACAAAACTGAGAAAGTTTACCGAGCTGAAAGACAATTATGAGGATTATTTTAATTGCAAAAAGCAAAGTAACAACTCTTGCTTTAAACTTTTGATACTTTTGGTTATTTATCTAATTTGAAAATAAATAATAAAAAATTGGAAACACTTAACCTCTCACTAACAGGTGAGTCTTTATCCTCTGTTAAACAATCCTGCCCCTTTAACCACTTGCCTACCAGGCACTTATACCCCCTTATTTACCAGGCCAATTTTCAGCTTTCAGCGCTGCCGCACTTTGATTGACAATTGCGCGGTCATGCAACATTGTACCCATATGAAATTTTGATCATTTTTTTCTCACAAATAGAGCTTTCTTTTGGTGGTATTTAATTGCCACTGGGCGCTTTACTTTTTGCGCTAAAAATAAAAAAAATGTAAAAAATTTGAAAAAAAAAAAAAGTTTCTTTGTTTCTATTATAAAATTTTTCAAACAGGTATTTTTTCTCCTTCACTGATGTGCGTTGATGAGGCGGCACTAATGGGCACTGATAGGCGGCACTAATGGGCACTGATAGGCAGCACTAAAGGGCACTGATAGGCAGTACTAATGAGGTGGCACGAATAGGCGGCACTGATAGACAGCACTAATGAGTTGTCACGGATAGGCGGCACTAATATGCAGCACTGATAGGCGGCACTGATAGGTGACATTGATGATGGGTACTGATAGACGGCACTGACTGGCATCACTGCTGGGCACTGACTGGCGGCACTGACTGGCACAACCCCTGGGCACTGACTGGCAGCACTGCTGGGCTGCACTGGTGGGTGGCACGGGTGGGCAACACTGGTGGGTGGGCACAGGTAGGTGGCACTGGTGGGCACAGGTGGGTGGACACAGGTGGGTGGCACTGCTGGGCACAGGTAGGTGGCACTGCAGAGTGGAACAGGTGGGTGCACTGCTGGGCACAGGTGGGTGCACTGCTGGGCACAGGTGGGCGGAGCTGGTGGGCGCACTGCTGGGCACAGGTGGGCGGAACTTGCGGGTGGCACTGCTGGGCACCGATCATCAGGGCACTGATCATCAGTGCCCTGATGATCGGTGCCGATCCCCGCTCTGACAATTGCCGGTTCTCGGCAGTACTTTCCTCACGATCTGACAGCGTGAGGAAAGTGCAGCCGAGAACCGGCACTTGCATTTCCCTCTGATCAGCGTGTCATTGGACACCGCTGATCACGTGGTAAAAGGCCGCTGTGATTGGCCTTTTACCACATCACGTGATCAGCTGTGTCCGTAGGACACAGCGATCACGGAGATCGCCGGGTGCGCGCCCCCTGGGGCGCGCAGGAGAGCGCGTTCTGGGAGGACGTCATATGACGTCCACTCAGAACTGACCGGCCGCAGTGCAGCCGTCATTCGGCTATCTGCGGTCGGCAGCTAGGTAAATAGGTCTCTAGGGCAATAAGATATCTTGGAGTTTGGCTCACACCAAATATGACCCAAATTTTTTACAAAAACTTACAACCCCTATTAAATGAAATAGAAACAGATTTAAAGAGAAGGGAAATTTGTTTTTTTTTCTATTGTTTTAGAAGAGACGCCAAACTTAAAATGGCGGTGTTACCTAAATTATTATGTTTATTATTAAAACACCAATGTTCTTTTTTTTAAAAAAAAACTTCAGTCTCTAGAGAACAAATTCTTTTGGGCTAATAAAATTCTAAAAATTACACTCAAAACAGTTAGCAAAGGTAAACTGCAAGCAGATATGGGTTTACCTGAATTTCAGAATTATTACCTTGTCACACATTTAACAAGAATTATAGATTTGAATTGTCATTATGTTAAGAAAGATTGGGTCCATTTGGAATGTGTACAATCACAACCACCTTTCAAATATCTTCCTTGGATAACTTGGTCACCTACGTCTTTTCCTTATACAACATCCTTTAATGGGACCTACTCTAGTCAATCATTTTCCTTTAGATCAAATTATAATCATATATTGGCCTTGAATTGTTTATTTTTACACATTCAATCTAATATACTTATTGTCTATTCTATGATATTGAACGTAGGGAATCAGACAGATATAAGAATATATAGGACGATGCTCTACAGGTAAAATGTTCTGAAAAACAATGGGAAAAAGCTTGCATGTTAGTGCATAAATGCTCTATCAGCACCCGATTACAAGAAACTTCTTATAAATGTCTTACCCATTTGTATACTTGTATACTTCTACAAAAATGAAAAAACGTACCCACTGGCATCAGATTTACACTATATTGCAAAAGTATTGGGACACCTGCCTTTACACGCACATAAACTTTAGTGGAATCCCATTCTTAGTCCATAGGGTTCATTACTGAGTTGACCCACCTTTTACAGCTATAACAGCTTCAACTCTTCTGGGAAGGCTGTCCACAAGGTTTAGGAGTGTGTCTATGGAAATGTTTGACCATTCTTCCAAAAGCTCATTTGTGAAGTCAGACAGTGATGTCAGACAAGAAGGCCTGACTTGCAGTCTCAGCTCTAATTCATCCCAAAGGTGTTCTATTGGGTTGAGGTGCAGGCCATTCAAGTTCCTCCATCCCAAACTCGTTCATCCATGTCTATATGGACCTTGCTTTGTGCACCGGTGTGCAGTCGTGTTGGAACAGGAAGGGACCATCCCCAAACTCTTCCCACAAAGATGGGAGCAAGAAATTGTCCAAAATGTCTTGGTATGCTGACGCCTTAAGAGTTCCCTTCACTGGAGCTAAGGGGCTAAGCCCAACCCCCGAAAACAACCCCACACCATAATCCCCCCTCCTCCAAACTTTACACTTGGCACAATGCAGTCAGTCACGTACTGTTCTCCTGGCAAATGCCAAACCCAGACACTTCCACTGGATTGGCAGACAGAGAAGCATGATTTATCACCTGGTTATAAATCACTTATTCGAAACTAACAGCTATATCTACATTTTTTGGGGGGTTATTACCACATACTCCTATCTTTATTTCATTTCCATACTCTTTTTCTTTCTTACTTATAGCCCTACTAATTTTTTCTTCTTTTATTTTGTAAAACACGTATTTCATAATCCTTCAGATCTCATGTTTTTGCCTATATACAAATAGGAATACAGTACCAACTTTAAGTAAACAAGCTTTGTTGTGACCATTGTATAAGAGAAACAAGGCCAGTGGTACAGATTATGTGTTTTTGTTATCATTACATAAATAAATGCTGTGGACAGAAAGATTGATGACTATAATTTTTGTTATATTGTATCATAATTTGACATATATTTGATACATTTCATAAATATATATTGAAACATAGCAGCTTTTCACCTAATATCCTCATCCTCCTTTCTTTTTACAAGTAAATAATGTACTGGTTTTCTAATTTGTGCCAGTGTGGTTGGAGCTTCTAAGCTCTTTTTAGGCCACCACAGCTCTGGGATTCTGAATCTATTTTTAATTTTCCTTTTTTAAAGTATTAAAAAAGGTAAATAGATCTAGATAGTTTATTCACCCCAGTTCCTGGGTTTTACAAATCTGTTTAACGTTTAAATGGGTAAAGTCTAAAATGTACCCTTTGGAGCGATTAATCTTCTCAACAGGTGGCTTAGCATTGATTAAAGTAATTTAATTAACCTCTTTTCATTGCACTTATGGTTCACAGTATTCTTGGTACTTTCTGCATCTCAGAAGTACTCATTATTAAACACAGTTTATATTACTAATGATTTTAACTAGATACCCAGAGTTAATGCTCTAACCCAGTATTTTTATATTATAAGGGGTCTTCAAAAGGTTTCTCCACTTTTATATATATAATAGAGTTTATAAAAAGCGAAGAAACCTTTTGAATTACCCTCGTATATGTAAAATATTTCTTTAGCATATTTATAGTTCTTATCTTTATTTTTTTTAAAAATCCTAAAGATTGTTGACTAGTTCATATTTTGTATCATTATATATGGTTCATTATTTTTATTCAATATTATATTGTGAACACTAAATAACTAGCAAAAGTGGTAGAAATGTAAAATAGTGCAAAGTTTACACATCAGAAAACAAAATGATAGAATTTCAGTATGGCTATTTATATCCGATGGCTTAGTAAAAAGTTAGTCAAAATGGTTGTATAGAAGAATATAGGTGTGACACTTTCGAAAAGTAAACTTTGCGGTAAGCATAAGAAAGAATCCTGCTTCAGCTTCTGCTGTTACTCATCCCAGCAGCTACAAAGAAGTGGCTTTCAGGTGGGCCTGATTTACTAAAGGGATAAAAAAACAAAATGGCAGGCACTAATAGCATTAGTATCCCTGTATTGTACAACTGTATGAGCGTACAGGTGTATATGAGCGTAGCAATTCAAATTCTTAAAATGAACAGGCAAATCATACACCGATGTTCAATGCATACAAAGCTGTCATCCCATATTGCAATGTGTGTTAAATATCCAAATAATGCTGCATTTGTTTTTCTTCTTTCAGTAAAGTGCACTAAGGAATGCACATGTCAACATTGTAACTAAAAAAACACACCAAAAAAGCTAATGACAAGCACCATGATTGCTAAATAGAGGTGAATTAAAAGGTACAAAGCAAAGCAGCAAGTCATAAAGACCTTTAAGCTGCACTGCAATGTATATGTGCGTATTTTTCATTGGAAGCCTAATCCCGAGGGGTAACATATGAAATTGTGTACACATGCATCCTTAGGCACAATATGCATACCAACCCCTGCATACCTCCAGCACAGTGTATGCTATGACTTTTGTTTGCTTTACCTTTAAAGAGCATTTGAAATATTGGTTTTATTAAAGTGGCTGCAAAGACAAATTTCTTTTCTTAAAATAAAAAAGATGTCAAGATGGCGGCCTGAGCAGTTCCATGTTTTAGAGCTCTGCTACTTCGGATTGTACTGTCTCCAACTTCTCTCTCCCCCCTGGGAGATACGTCGATTGGCTCCTGATGCCACATAAGATCCCTGTTACGCAGCAGAGGGGTAAGAGGCTTAGTTTCATACCGTTTGTTGAAGTGGAGATGCCAGACCCTGCCCACCACAGGGCTGCGTCCCCCCGCTCTGTCGCTAACATTGTGTCCCAGACGGAGGGTGGGGATCCTGCGGACACCTCGCGGCCTCGTTTTCAGGATGTTATGACAGCGATTGCCTCTTGTCAGGCCTACCTCACCACCAAGATCGAGGCAGTACAATTCGATGTGGTCCTTGCCCGGCAGGACCTGGACAAGATCCGTACCTGCCTATTGGTGGCAGAGCAACGAATCAATCCGATGGAGGACACGGGAGCGGTACACACCACCTTCCTCCGCACACTCTAGTCCAAGGTCCAGGCCCTGGAATATAAAGTGGACGATGTGGAAAAACCACAACAGGCAGAACAATCTGCTGATTGTGGGACTAGCAGAGGGGCTGGAAGGAAAAAAACGTACGTTCTTTGTGGAGGAGTTACTCCATACCCTGCTACCTGTAGCCCCGTTTTCTCCCTTTTTTACTGTGGAGAGAGCGCATCTCATCCCACCTATCCCAGGACCTTTGGGATCTCCCACTTAATTTAATTTTAAGACTGCTTAACTACAGGGAACGAGATGAGGCTCTCAAGGCTGCTCGGGTTGTAGGTGAGCTGAAATACCAAAATGTCAAGCTGCTTCTATTCCCTGATTATTCACTTGAAACACAAAAGCTCCCGTAAATCTTTTGACCAAATAAAGATGGCACTGCAGGTGCGCACTATCCACTACAGCATGCTCTTTCCTGCAAAGCTGCGAGTGCAGGATGGGGAGACTGTCCACTTCTTTACCACCTCCCTGTGAGGCTGCTTCCTGGCTGGATATGCTGCCTCCTCATCGCTGAGTCACTGATATTTGTGAGTTTTACCACTATTGCCTTGCTTTCACCTGTTGTGCCTCAGTGCCTTCATACAGCCTATATAAACCTCATTCTGTTAATGCCTCACCTGCCATAATGTTTGATTGCTGTGCTTTACTACCGGACGGTCTGGACTATTATTGTTACCTTTTTCTTGATCCCTTATGGTGTTGAGGCAATGACCTGCTGCACTGAAGTTTTATGAAACTGTGGTTTGAGGCTTGCACATCAGGCGATTGGAGGAGAAGCTGTCCCTTTATGCGGATGATGCTTTATTATATCTGAATGATGCAAGCCCGTCACTTACAT